GGCTACCAGATTTAGGAGGGAAAGATCGGATAGCGCGTCGGACAAGGAAGATGTTCCGTTAATGGAATTATCCAAGCGTCTGAAGGCTCGTGATGATCAAGATACTGAAAATGTAAAGGACACGAATAGTTTACCATCAAGTAGAAGTGATACCTCTGATGATGAACGCGACATGCATGTCGATGTCCTTGAATGCGATATAAAAAGCGATGGTAAATTAAAATCTGAAAAATCATCCAACAAAAAGACAAAACAGTTGTTAAAACTTATTGCCAGTATGCTATAGTACTTGATTTTCTAATGTTAATGACTAATTAACCGAGGCGATTTTAGTTAAAAATGCCAAAAACAGTTGTGTTACTTCGCGGCTTACCAGACTCACGATTTCCCCTGATTAAAGTGTTTCTTCGATGTGTAGACTGTATTTTCTTTTCATAAAACTATCAAATCATTCAAAAAAGCTTTAGACACTCTTTGGGAAGCTCTAAACATGGCTATCAGTAATTATACCCTTACTAAATTACCAACAAAATTAGAACATTTAAGGGAAATTTCTATGGAAAGTTTAATTTATGAGTTACATAATTTGGGGCAGTTAGAGAAAGACAAGGCCTGGCCATTTTGGTATTATATATTTATAATTCTTGGTTCAACACTGGTAATTCTTATTGGCTTTATATGTTGCTATAAACGCAACTTAAAATTTAAAAATTTCTTAAGTCATTGTTTTGGAATGAAATATTGTGGAAATCGTCCTGAGATCAGTGCAAAGGATGAAATAGTTCTATCAAGAAGGGGCGAGTTAACAACTAATGGAGATGAATTAGAAACCATAGAAACACACTCTGGTATTCTCCAATCAACGCCCGTGCCTGGTACACCCGATCCGACATCAAGCACAGCTGTTCCTGCCGCTACTGGTAATAGAATTCCAAAGGAAAGGAAATTAACGGAAAAGTTATCACACGACTTTGTTGTACCTGAATTAAGGGAGATGTTCCGTGTGACTTCATAAGAAGTGTTGTGTTAACAACAGTCACCCACTGATTGTGTGTATGTGTATTGTATACAACTATTGTGTTATGGGTGAATAACCCACTAATCAGTGACTGTTAGTGCGCCTATGTCGACAAAGTTTATATACTATTTTGCTTATATATTATATACTCATTATGCTTATATCTATATAGACATATCTATTCAGAATGTTATCGGTGTCCAGTTCCAGTTATATTTAGTCCACACGCAAGTCTACATGTTGAATGGTAGCTGTGTTGACTGTCAAACTGTCATTAACAATTGAACATGATGTAACCTTTCACCTGTTTTGTGGTAACCAGAAGTCAAATATGTGACCCTACACGCGTGAATTGAGTTTATATTATCAAACAAACTATGGAGAGTAAACTCATTAGGTCACAAGCTGTTGAATGACATGTGCTATAACAGAACTTTTATTTCATAATCATTATCTATCTGAAAAAGAACGGTTGTTAGTTTCTGGATTGTGAATAGGATTGAATGAACGTTTAACAACATGTTTTGTGTTTGTGTTTTACCATAGGAGTGTGAATCGTTATCGAGATTGACAGTAGGACACTTCAAGAATCAAAAACTTTTTTTTGAATTTGACTTAAAGTTTTTTTTATTATAGTCAAATTAAAGTGAACTTAGGACTTTGTAAGATAGTGCGGAATTTTTATCATATGGAAATATTTTATGCATGCCATTTTTATTATATGTATGTAATTTTATTTCTTTTGCAAGGTTTCCTCGTTCTCCAGTTTTCATTCACTCCCCCTAACACATATATTTTTTTTGCCATGCTGTTACTATGTACCATCATGTCTTAGCGATGGGAGGTATGTAGCACTATGGCCCTTGAGACAATTTTGGCTCTTTATAAAATTGTCTCTTCAATTTGGTCTATAAAGTCAAATCATAAGTACTAAATGAACGTGGTTATAGTTGTTCGTAAAAAACAGTGATGTTTTAGTTAAATTATAATCATTGTCAAATTAGTCCACAAATTCTAGCTGTTTATTGACCTATGGTTGGTTGACCAAAAATAGGTAATGTTGCCTGTCTTGTTTGTGGGAAATATAGAGTTTTATTCCTTATATGGCGTGGAAATTCACGTCAAGGTTATTAAAGACCTGGGAAAGTAGGGGGTATAAATTAGGGTGTAGAGGAGAGCTAGATTAGAGCTCACCCAGAGATTCTTACCAGTCATTATATATTTGAGAACGAGGAACCTGCAAAGTTATTTCCAGTTTACTAATAAAGCTGTGAAATCATTGTTGCTGTAGTATTATTTACGATCACAAGGAACACAACAAATAAAGAAGTCCGGTAGTACTACATGGCCCAGAACCTGGGTATTACTTGCTTTTAAGGGTAGCAGTCATTTTGTTCCGCAGTTTTGGTCCGATTTTCACGAAATTTGAACTCGGTTGTAATTATGGTGCAACCGTGACATTTGAACAGTTTTGACAATCAAATAAAAACTGTGAAGTTTAGAGGTTCCACAAGCTAAAAAAGTCGAGATCTTTCAGTTATAAATATACATTGTCAGTTTCAAAAAAATCGTTTAAAATTTGTGACCTCTAGAGTGTCCACAACCTTGGAATTATTAGGCATATATTTGTCAAGTTCAGCATCGCAGGAAACCAACATCGAATGGGCTTGCATGGTAAAGGAATTAGAAAAAAAAATAAAATTTCACTTCATTGCTGAGCAATTTCATTAGCCAGGCAGCATCTCTAGATTCCCCGAAGCTTCCGGGACCTAGGCGGCTCCTGGACCCTCGCCTAAAAGTTCTAGGATGGTAGCCCAACAAATCAAGAATTGCTTCCGACGGCCCTTCTCATGACGATACTTTACATCAAATTTGACAGGGCGACGACACTGAAATGTGGGTGTATAAAAAAACCTTTTAAAAAATGAATCCTCTATCCGGTTAACAAGGTTTTCAGATAAGGGAGGTAACTCCAAACCAGACATCGTTGAGCGTTGAAAACCAATGGATTCGTCCTTCCATGATGAGTTTGCATAGTTTTGCTATGCTGCAACCTTAGGGGAAGCCACAGTGGCTCAATGAGTAAGACATTGGCTTGTTCAGATGGGACGAAAAACCAAGGTTCAGTGTACCCATAGGCGTGCACGTAAAAGAACCCTCGACAGCTGGAATTCGATAGAAGAGTAGGCCTTAGCGTCGCTGTCCAAGCATAATTTCACTAACAGCACACTGCATGGTGTATGCCTGCCTTCATTAGCCCAGTCGGAGCAGAACAGTATGACGTTAAACAGCATTTCATTTCATTTATATTTCTTTCTTTTATAGATTGATTGGTTTCAAAGTGTAAAACCCTAAATGCACAACCCCAGTCAAATCCGCTGAAACGGACTAATGGTTTTCTATATCAATTGATGACCAACAGCTGCCAGGCAGGATACGCCCACAGTTTGCCAGAGATGGATAGAGAACAAGCTAAAAACAAACTGGATTTTTTGTACAATCAGGGGCAATAATCCAGAAAGTTATGGTCTGAAATGCGCAAATATCAAAAGGGACTGAGAAGATCTTTGGGATATAAAGATATGTTTTAAGTTGTATCAGAATCGGATAAAAATTGTGACCTCTAGAGGGTAGACAATATACTTTTACACAATTTGCGTACAAAGAGCAGCCATTTTGTTGGGCAGTTTCATTTCAATTTTCCCGAAATTCGAATTCAACCTTCATTATGGTGGAATGGTGAAATATTTAAACGGTTTTTAAAATCGGAAAAAAAATTGTGACCTCTTGACTAGAAAATCTGCAAGCTAAAAATTCGATTTTTCGAACAATCAGGAGCCATAATCCAGGAAGTTAAGTTTGGGTATCCGTGATTATCAAACGAATCCAAGATCTTAGCGTGTAATGGTGATATATTCACACATATTTTTTTAAATCAGACATAAATTGTGACCTCTACAGGGACCACAAGATAAAAAGGTGATTTTCCGTACAATCAGGCGCCACAACCTTCGACAACCTTTGCATTGCATACTTTTACACAATTTGCGTACAAAGAGCGCCCATTTTGTCTAGTGGTTTCATTTCGATTTTCCCGAAATTCGAATTCAACCTTCATTATGGTGGAATAGTGATATATTTAAAAGCAGCGATGGGATTTCAAAATTTTTCTTGTCAGACATTTTACCGAAAATAAAGGGACATAACTCTTATCGTTATTTAAGCAGACGGATTCATACCACAATTAAAAATCACATGTCAACAAAATATTAAAATCCTGTACATAAAAAAAAAATAGGTGAACCTCGCTATTTTTCATATTTAATTCCTGTACGGTATTCAAATTTATCTCAGTAATAATCCTACAAAATAACTCATTTTCGTAATACACTGAATGAAAGCTTGTCGATCCTGCTTCAGCATCAAATTCACAATAGTAGACCTAATATTCCTGCAAAATTACGGCGTTTATAGGGCAGCAAATGAATGCAGAACTTTTAAAATCCAAACTCAATCAAACTTACGGTGTAACGCTCATATTTTTAAAGTTTTTTTTAAATATGTTAATAATTGTGACCTCTAGAGGGATCACAAGCTAAATTATGACATTCAGGGGTCATAATTCAGGAAGTTATGATCGAATACGCGTGAATATCAAAAGGAACCAATTTCTTTGGGTTATAAACATGTATTTCAAGTTTCATCAAAATCGGATCAAAATTGTGACCTCTAGACGGTCAACAACTTTGAAATATCAGATGTTATACACTATTTGCGTACGAGGGGTGTCCATTTTGTCCGTCAGTTTTAGTCCGATTTTCACGATATTCAAACTGAGCCAGAATTACGATGTAACAGTGATATTTTTGAACTTTTTTTTAAATCAGATAATAATTGTGACCTCTAGAGGGAGCTCTAAAAACGTGATTTTTCATACAATCAGGGGCCAGAATTCATGAAGTTACGGTTTGATACATGCCAATATCGAAAGGAACCGATAATTCAAGTTTCGTTGAAATAGAATAAAAATTGTGACATGTAGAGTGTCCACAAACAATTGTGGACGGATGGACAGACAGGGGCGACGACAATATACTTCCACATGAAAATGTGGGCATATAAAAACCCCTGTAAGCTTCTCGAACTTTAGCCTGATCAAAAAAAAATTAAGAACATTTACATACCTGACCACTGTATCATCAGCATAGTCATCAAGCAATCAGAACTTCACCTGTTCTTTATGTTGTAGGGCTCAAAATATGGATATATTAACCACACATGTACAAGACATGCCCATATTTTCCAAGAACTGTGGGGAAAAAACAAAGCATAAGTGAATCTATCAGCAATGATAACCAGCAGACCTGTCAATTCTACCGCATCAGTGCCGCGAAAAGGCCTCATGTACCGCTCTACTGCCCGGTAATAGATATCTACCGCATTTTCAAACAAAGAGTTTTTTAATTTTCTCGCCAAAATTATGGAACTAAGGGAAGCAACTCTTTGCATGTAAACAATAATGATTGCGACTTTCGGTTATTAACATCGATTTGGGATATTGTAAGGTGTAATTTAGCTAAGAGATTTTTTATCAAATTCTTTTCAACCTATTTTAGAGTTAATAAAGCGGATATAATTATTGGCACATGTTCCAAATACTCTTAAAATGCGTAGCGATAAACTAAACAAATAGCGCCCAATTTACGGCAGCAATGGCTGACATTTTCGTTTGCGCGCGTACGTACCGCATCTAATACAATACTTCAAATGCAACACAACCTGGAACTTTAATTTCAAGATCGGAATACGTCTCCACGATTCTGACTTACATGGAACACTCTCTCGAATAAATGTAAAAGCCGATTTACGGAATCACGGGAGAAAAAAATCCCGTACATTGGAGAGGATAATCGCCATGGGGGGCATGATTAAATCGATACCGTACCAATATTTAGTCGTTATGCAAAACTCACTTTTTACGCTCCCCCCCCCCCTCTCTGTATTCCTAATGTAGAAATACTATAGAATCTTAAATGAAACAATATTGACAAAAACTCTCAGAATGAAGAACGCACGTACGTCACAAGGAATCAAGATATTTTTAAAATCATGCTAACACTAACAGCTAAGTTAAAACAAAAGAAAAGTGGCAGTGGTAGGCCTACTGCCAGTAGTACTACAGTGGAATGGTAATTTTGGTTATTTTTGTTTGTTACTAATTATTTCTTTCTGTAGGTCACATATTCAATTTTGGTTTAATTACATGGGCCTAATGGTAAATAATTTTAGATAAGATATGGTTACCATTGTTTGTGTACATTTTATCTAATTACCCATTTAATGCAATTTTTGTATTGTTAATTGTTGGACCTACAGTTCAGCGTATCATTTCTAAATTAATTACCCTTGGAAGTGCGAATTTACGCTTTTTTGGAAATCTGCCAAATCATGGTTTCTACTGCATTTTTTACACTACCCTACTGCATTTCAGCTCAGAGGGGTTGACGGGTCTGATAACCAGCCGTTGCTAGGCAAGATAAGCCCACACCTTGCAAGAGATGGATAGAGAACAAGCTAAAAACAAAAGCAATTTTCAAACAATCAGGGGCCATAATCCAGAAAGTTATGGTCTGAAATGCATTAATAACAAAAGGGACAGATCTTTGGGATATAAAGATATATTTTAAGTTTCATCAAAATCGGATAAAAATTGTGACCTCTAGGGGGTCCACAACCTTCATATTACATACTTTTACACAATTTGCGTACAAAAAGCAGCCATTATGTCCGGCAGTTTCACTTCGATTTTCCTGAAATTCGAATTCAACCTTCATTATGGTGTAATGCTGATATATTTGAACTGTTTTTAAAGTTGTTGATATACCAGATGTTTACACTATTACAAATTCCTTAGAAACCACCAACATGGCTTCCACTTTAAATAAAAAACATTCAAACAATGTAATATACAATTAAAACTAATAGCAACATATACCTTTAAACTGGAAGTTTTAAATCTTTGGCTGATACAATACAAATACTAGCACACATCCAGTTGATGAAAGAAAACAATAGATTTACTAAAAATTGACTTTAAATATAAAACTTATGAAGTATCCAACCACACACTACAAGATTCTAATTAGAACTGGCCAAGCTGATATACTACAAGAACAAAGAAACCATCTATCAGAGCTAAAAAATTTGAAGACTTTACACATACTAACATTAGACTAAATTCAGAGTGAAATAGACTTAGCGATAGTGTTGTGAAAGCAGATACCATCAAGCGCTTCAAGACACTAGTGGCTACGAGTGACATCTAATAGCGCACTCCTCCCCCGTTGAATGAAAGCCAGAATTGGTCGCTTCAACGTAACCCTTCAAATTCATATTCAGAACACTAGTGAGATGATGAGTGAACTCGAACTCATTGGATATGAGTACAAAATAGGACAGTTTAAAGATGCATTGAAGTGTGACACAATATCTAAGATTACATTAGCAGTGTGACCATATAAAATATCCAATATATATCTTTATTGATCCTCCAAATATGAAGAGTACTAGAACAGGACAGTGAATATAATAATAATAGTAATCACATAATATAACCAAAAAAAAAAAAATGGTTAAGAGTTCAATCTATAGATTAGTACTGTCTAACAAATCACAGCTGAATAATGTCGTACCAATCCTTTACACACTAGGTATATAAATAATACTGTTTGTTTCCAACCAAACGTAATCGTCGACGTTACACAGAGAGAGAGCGTTTCACAAGGAATTTATTGTCATTTACATCATCAAGCACAGAGGCGTAAATGATGGGGACTGGGGGGATGGAAAAACATTAGTCAGTCTCAAAATAAGAGCTCACTGCAGTTGTTTGCAGACTAAATGCATTATTGAGGTAAACAAACTTTACAATGCCAAAATAGATGGAAAAATCCCACATACTTAATTTATGTATTTGCGTGAATCAGAGCAGCTAAATTGCATATGTCACGCTACTCACGCAAAACAGTTGTATAAAATAACCTTGTCAACTTATCATGTTTGAAAATATGTTTTTCACTCATATTCTGTTGTGAGTATGTTGGTCAGAGAAATGTTTCCCCCTGATGGAAAAATAGTTGGTCTCAAAATAAGTGCTCACTGCAGTCGGTCTCAGACTAAATGAATTAATGAGGTAAACAAACAATGCCCAAATAGAAGGGAAAATCTCAATATACTCGATGTATTTGTGTGAATTCATGCACCTAATCTTTTAACTTGTCAACTTGTCATGAGAGAACTTGTTACAAAGGTTTTGATATTTCACACTATATATTCTTGATTGTCATATGAATAATATTAGTTGAACAGATAAGAAGTTATTGGAAGCATAGTTTTATCTTTTGTATTGGTAAAAGAGAAGGTGAGTTTGTTTCAGAAACACGTAGACAATCTTTAAATTATGAAAATAATGTTAAGGCGATCTGTTGAACTTAATTTTTACTTGTTGCATATTCAATCCCAGTAGAAATTAAAACGTATTTTACTCATGTTATTAGTGTTTTCGGACCATCAGAATTCTCCAAAGTCCAGGAAATGGCATTCCAGGGACTCTAGATTTAAACATTCATTTTTAGATAACAAACTAGCACCTGCGTCACTCGTATATATAGGGGCATGTGCATCAGTTGGTCGCATTTTTGCCCACCCCCACCCCCCAAAAATGTTATGTACGTATGCCCCTTAGTCGTTTTTGCTTAAATGATATACAGTTGACAATAGAATACTCAGATTACATGTAAGAAATAAGCCACAATGTCTACACAGTAATCTATCCAACGATGTTGGCTCATCCATCCAAGCCTTCATAGATACAGAACTATTCACACCTAATAACTGTAGAGTTTCAGTTCTGTTTTGTTACAATTGTCAAGGGATTTGATTTGGGTAGACTAATCTGTTCAGGATTAATTCGATTCTGTTTCTCGAGCTTGGATAGTCTATGATTGGTACAACTTCCCTCTCTTTTCAATTTTGATATAGATGAGTTGATTAATTTGAATGATTTGCTCATATTTTTAGTTCATCAGATAGATTAATTGTTGTGTCACAAACACTGACGTCATCGGTTTTCAGGTTGCTTAACTCGCCGCAAATATTTTCATTAAAGGGGCCATTATGGGAGATTGGATAAAGAGTTGACAGTATTTGCTATATAATAGTCAAAAGATAGGTTGCCAGGCAACGAAACATACGCCCACAGCAGCTATATGTCACATATTTTTACTTTTTTCGGTAATGAAACATTTATAATACATTAAAATCTGATTAAGAGTAACAACTCATTAAGTAATTATCAGAAAACCATTAGAATTTGTTTGGTTTTTATAAAGTTCTGCCCCATGCTAACGTTTAGTATACAAAACTTTTAACATCATGGATTTAGCTGTTCAAGTCATAAAGATTCATTGAAAATCAATATACTTGTTCGTCTCAAGACCATAAACTCTGTGTATCAATCTGAAGTCAATCGCATGATAACTTTAGCCTCTAGAGCGTCACAAGATTTTCCAAAGTGATCATGGGCCATAACTTTGGCAGTAATTATCCGAAATCATGGAAAATCAATATGATTCTTCCTCTCATGGCCTCAAACACTGTATAAATTTAAAGTCAATCGGATATTAACTTTAGCCTCTTAAGCGTTCACAAGACTTTTCAAAGTGATCAAGGGCCATAACTCTGGCAGTAATTATCGGAAATCACTGAAAATCAATAGGCTTCTTCGTCTCATGACCTTAAACATTGTGTATAAGTTTTAAGTCAATTAGATATTAACTTTGGCCTCTAGAGCATCCACAAGATTTTAGAAAATGATCAAGGGTCATAACTCTGGCAGTAATTATGGTCCGATATGCGCGAATATCGATAGGAACTGAGATCTGTGGGTTATAAACATGTGTTTCAAGTTTTATCAAAAGCAGATGAAAATTGTGACCTCCAGAGGGTCCACAACCCTGATACACAATATTGTGAGACTATTTGCCAATGAGGGGTGGCCATTTTGTCTGTCAGTTTCCGTCCAATTTTTACGAAATTCGAACTCAACCATTCTTAGGGTGTAACAGTGATATATTGTAATGTTTTTTTTTAATCGGATAAAAATTGTGACCTCTATGGGGTCAACAAGCTAAAAACGCGATTTTTCGTAAAATCGGGGGCCATAGTTCAAGAAGTTATGGTTCGATATGTGCCAATATCGACAGGAACCGAGATCTGTGTATTATAAACATACATTTCAAGTTTAAACCA